CCATAATTTTCCAAGTACTTTAAAATTAATGGCATTGGATGGACTTCTATTTATAAGATAAGTTGTAGTTTTGAGGGCTTCCCCTTAGAAAAATATTGGTAGACCAGAACTGTGTAATATTCATTCTTTCTGCAACACCATTATGTTGCTGGGTGTCTGTCACAGTGTGGTTCTTAGCATGACATTTTCCTTACAAAAGGAATCAAATTTAGTATTATAAAATTCAAGTCCATTGTCCGTTCTCAGTTTTTTAATTTCTTTCTTGTTTCGTTTTCAATCATTAACTTCCATTGTTTAAAGATTTGAAAAATATCAGATTTTTGTTTTAACAGAAAAGTCCATGTTTGCCTCGAAAAATCATCTACAGTAAGTAGATAGAATCTAAAACCACTTAGTGTATTTGCAGAGGCTGGTCCCCAAAGATCAGCATGTAAATACTCTAAGATGTATATGGATTTGTGAATTCTAGGTTTAAAAGGTAGTTTTTGCAGTTTTCTAATTATCTAGTCTTCACAAGAATCTAACTTTTCAATGTGGTTCTTCCCAAAACACCTAAGTTTATTCAAGAGAATGAGACCCTTTTTCTGAAATGTGGCCAAGCCTTTTATGCTAGATTAAAGACTCATTTGATTTAGAATTTACATCTATAGAGGTGGAGCCTACTAAACGTTAGGCACAAATATTGTAAATTCCATGTGTTTTATGAAAGGTGATGACTTCCTTATTGTCATCATTTAATCTTATAAGCCATTTATGAATCACAATGTTATATTTATCATCTAACTCCCCTAGGGATATCAGATTTCTTTTCAGTTCAGGCACATATTTGGCGTTGTTTAATTCAAGTAAATAGTTATTATCTAACATTAGTTTCAATTTTCCAAATCCTTTAATTTGACAACTCATGTCGTTTCCCATTTGAATTTGACCTCTATTAAGATCAACAAATTTAGTAAACCATTCCTTAACTGGACACATGTGGAAAGTGTATCTAGAATCAAGGATCCATTCATTTGGGTCTCTTTTGGGTGTGTTGGTAAGAAAAAAAAACCTTGAATGTCAAGTTCATTTTTGCAGGCAATGGCTGTTGAACCATCAGGGCTAATTCTTTCTTTTGAATAAGAAATTTTCTTGAAACAATCCTTTATTAGATGTCCAGTCTTTTCACAAGAAAAACACTTCATAACTTGGTTCTTGGTTTTAATCTGACCTTTACTTTTGTCCTTATGTTTTGGTTTTTGAAATCTGCCCTTATTAGATGAAGTGAAATTACATGCTCTTTTTCTTACTTTGGTTTTGTTTCTCCTTTATGTGGAGACCTTCACCAATTTTAGTAACTTTGAACTCTGATTTTAGTTCAAGTTCTTTATTCCCTAGGGCAGTAGTGATAATATAAACAGTAAGGTTTTCTCTCCCATATTCTAAGGCGTTTCTAATGTCTCTGTATCTTTCACTAAGTGAATTCAACAGGCCAACAACCTGTTGATCATCAGAAATTTTCTCATCACAATTTGCTAGATCTTGAGTCAATTTTGTATATTTGACAGTCTTTTCTTCTAGAGTAAGAGATGTATCAAATCTGAAATTATAAAAATGCCAAAGCAGATGACATTTATTAGGCATAGTCTTAGTTAGATACAAGGACTCGAGTTTAGTCCAAAGTGTCTAAGTATCAGTAGTTTCCCCAACTTTTCTAATTACACTGTCAGAAAGGTGAAGAAATATAGAACTCCAATTTCATCAAGTTCTTGCCTTCTATAGGCACTAATTTTTGTACCCCAGGTATTATCTAAAGCCCCACATCTCTGTTGTAAAAATATTGTCTTCATTTTTTGACGCCAGATACTTAAGTCTCTAGTACCATTCCAAGTTGGGACTTCAAATTTTTGTATTCATGTATTGACAAATTTAATCACAAAGTAACAGATATACAACACACAGTGTATCTCCAATTCAAGTGGTTTAGCAAAATTACATTGAAAATAAGTAGGAGGACAGGATAGATGCTGTTGATTATAACTACTTAACATGCAATTTACAAAATTACAGAGAATTATAATTAGTAAGTGTACGTGTTAATTTGAAATAGGTCTAAGGAATTATTATCCTGGATTCCAATGTTCCCCCAGATTCCTAAATCCTCAAGGGATCTTGGACAAAGGAAAGCAATGACAGACTACTTCCCCTAATGACTACTTTCAAAATTAACAGATACAATTAATAGCTTTAATAAGAAGGATAAGAAATTACCAGAATTTGAAACCTCAAATTTTCAGTATGGAGAGTGTAGTCATATTACTAAAATTGAACCAACCAAGAAGGCAATTAGTCACAGGACTTAGTAGCACTCAGAAGTGAGTCAAGAACTAAACAGGAATTGGAGTGAGTTAACTCAACTTGCCAAGACTCAGTATGAGTTAAAGACTCAACAGGAATTGGAGTGAGTTAACTCAACTTGCCAAGACTCAGTATGAGTTAAAAGTAGAGTTAACAAAACTCAGTGTAAACAACAGATCTGAGCAAGTCAAGTGCGAGTTTGAGGTTTTAATAGAAATTTACAACAAGTCTTGATGAACAAACCCCAGTTATACGAATCTTGAGGAACAAATCCCCCAGTAACAGAGTTATTTATGAAAAAATCCAACCAAGAGTTGGATACAGTATGGATAAAAAACGAGTAGGTTCCAGAAAACAAATTTCTCAATAGAGACACTTTTCTTTCTTTTAAAAAAAGATGACAATTTGAAAGTATTTAAAACGCTCTGATACTACTTATTGGTCCCATTGCATAAAAGCTTTTGTTTGAATTGTTAAAATAACACAAAATACAGAACATTAAAGAACAAGAACACAGAAGATTTTTCACCCGTAAAGGGTCTAGATGTTCAGTCACAAAGACCTTCTCATCCGTTGAGCATCGACTAAGCGATTAGGCTCTAGATCCACTAATATCACCAAGAAATTGTACAAATGTATGAAGAAATCAATGATTTCTTCAAGTTCTTTCTCGCCTCTCCTTTTACAAATATGGTCACCTAAATCTCTCATACAGATCGTACTAACCCTCAATACTCAACAATACAAAGATTACATCACGAATATGAAAATTACCAATTTTAGAGAAACCCTAGTTCACACACAGAAGGAACATTCGAGAAAGGAAGAAAAATGAATAGTCTCTCAATGATTTCTTCAAGTTCTTTCTAGCCTCTCCTTTTACAAATATGTTAACCAAAATCTCTCATATAGATCGTACTAACCCTCAATACTCAACAATACAAAGATTACATCACGAATATGAAAATTGCCAATTTTAGAGAAACCCTAGTTCACACACAGAAAGAACATTCGAGAAAGGAAGAAAAATGAATAGTCTCTCTGCGTCGAAGAGTATAAATACCCAGACGAAACGACACAGGTCAAAGGATTGTAAATGAGCCACGCGTACGGCAGATAGCAGCCCTTAAGTGAGGCATAAGTCGTGTAACTAAGAAAAGCGATTAATCAACTGGGCCTGGTAAATTACAATTTAATAAGACCAAACACTTTAACAAAATAGTGAGGCAGCCCAAGTCATAACACGGATTTTATTAATCAACAAAGTTGCATGTTTCTATATTTTTCATTTCTTCTTCTCTATTCATTTTTCCTTTCTCCTTCTCTTCGATAACCATTTTGCAGTAAATCAAAATACAAGGAAAGACCACAAATCTCTCCTCTTGTCACGCTTCTTTTTCCGGCTTTTATATTTATATACGTCAAACTTCATGTTGAATTTTAGGATAAGGATTTTCTCTTAAAAGTTAAAGTCACATGTTTATGTTGTGTTAATGTTTACTGCTTCTTTCCTTAAAAGCATACTTTATAGTTTATAGGCACTGAATAGAGCATATTGTAATAGATGCGTGTAAGCAAGATATTGGAGGGTCCCAAATCTGTTGGTCTAGACTCTCTAGATCCTGGATTATCGACCAAAACAAAGCAAATCCATTATTGACATGAGAAAAATAGGTCGAACGTGAATGGAAACTAATATTTGTCCCGACTATTACAAAAAAACAAAAAGGTAATAGTCATAAGACCAAGTATGAAAATACTAACGTTCGATATAACTTTTCAAACGCGAAGATAAAATATTTTGCCATTATTTGGTGGGGATTAAAATTAAATTTTAATAGATCTGGATAAAAATTGATGAAATTGTGATTAAAAAGTTGTAGACTCCATGAAATATGAGATTTAAATTAATCATTGATTTTGACTTAAATTAAAACTTAAATTTTAATCCCTATCGGAATTTTATATGCTCGATAATCAATCTTATTATAATGGAGACATATTTAGCTATTCCCAAGAATCTAATTTCCATCAATCTTATTATAATGGAGACATATTTAGGCATTCCCAGGAATCTAATTTCCATAGTCAAAAAGGGGCTTTAGTTATGTGACGTTGAACAACAGCTTTTGCAAAGAATCAAAAGAAAAACCTAAAGTCCCTAAACTGTTTCGTTTTAATTCGTCACTATCCTACAAACTTATCGGAATAATCATAACCAGCAATAACCCATTATATATACCATTTTTATTCAAATCTTTACTTAGAATATTTAGATGCCAAAAGATTATGTTTTGCTGGCAATTATTTAGTTGAATAATGTTATTACAAGGACACGGTGAGAATCTTTAATATAGAAAATACTGTGCACAAGATGATAAATAATAATTTATTTATTTTTTTCCCTTTTTAACCGGGTATAATATTATCAATCGAGTCTATAACCGTATCCTAAAAATAGTCTATTTCGAATTTTTGTTTTGATTTTATATAATGATATTGAGTCTTGACGATTGAGACTTAGAATAAAATTTTGTTTAATTTTAGAAGTTAGTATGACTTGGAGACTTTTGGTCGAAGGAAAATCTTATATTTCGTATTTTATATTGGACATCAAATTCATACGACGTTATATTTCTTAATTATGTCAATTCTTATTCAGTCGAACATCTTAAACACGTTTCTTTACGGAGGCAATGGATGTTATTGGTCGAAGAAGACATTTATTTTCCAAACAACCCAAGAAATAATCAAACTGCACATGTACTCGCTTTGATATATAAATCCTCTTATCCTCTCATGGGGAGAGAAAACAAGAACACACACCAGAATACCTAAGAAAAAAATGACTTCCTCCTTCTCTTTGATTCTTCCAGCCCTCTTCCTCTCCTTCCTGATCTCGACCCAGCCCGCGAACTGCCAGAATTTAATCAACGAAACGTGCAAAACATTGGCTCGTGATGATCCAAACATCAACTACAACTTCTGCACAACTTCCCTACAGGCAGCACCAGCCAGCCAGTGTGCAAGTTTACGTGGGCTTGGGAAGATCTCAATCAGACTTGTGCGTTACAACGTTACAGATATGCGGTGTTATATCAAACGATTGATGAAAAACAGGAAGTGGGATCCTTATGCAGAACAATGTTTGAAGGATTGCTTTGAACTTTTCTCTGATGCAATCTCTTCTGTGAAGGATGCCATGAAATATTACAACTCCAAACGATATGATGATGCTAATGTGCAAATAAGTTCAATAATGGATGCTGCTACAACTTGTGAAGATGGATTTAATGAGAGAAAAGGCTTAGTTTCTCCATTGACAAAGAGAAATCGCAATACTTTTCAACTCTCTGCTGTGGCACTCTCTGTTATGGATGTGATTCGGAAAGGATCAGACGTCTGATGATTGATTACATTTTGATGATCATTTTCTTTTCTTGATTACATCGGATTTCTTTGTTTTTGTCGTTTATAAAATATAAAATTATGCATATGAGTGATATTTGTCCTTATTAAGATGTTAACATATAAACCATGAAGCTGCTGGTCAAGAGTTCTAACCTTTGTTGAAAAGCATTCAATGGAAGAGTGACTTCTACTTAATATTTTGTCTTAGACTTCATTGTTAAACTAAATAATGACCTTCTATAGTAATTATTTAAAATAATGCTATCCAATAGTAGTGGTGCTACAACATTAGTCTATGTGGCATTATGAGATGAGTTTAGTTAAAAATAAAATTATATGATTCATTTAATTAAAAATACCACAAGTGCTACCTTAAACACAGTAAATTTATGTGATTCATTTAATCAAAAATGCCACCAGTGTTGCCTTAAACCCCAGTTGACCTAAATAACATTACTCAATTATTTATCCAAACGCGTTATGTTGACCTCACTTTTTGTAGGGGGTGACGTGGTGAATTGATCGCAGCTTCTTTAGCATTCACGTAAGCTTTGGTCCTACGCACTAGAGCAAACCATTAAAGCATACGGCCAGACTCCGAATGGGGGAGGCGGCCACAAACACTCTAACAATCAAGTTGTTGGAATATATACTTGGGTGTGGGATTAGCTTAGAAATTAGTTCTATCAAAGTAAAAAAAGGGGTTCAAAACTAGGGTGAATACAAGAGCAAGATAAGAGAGTTCAGTGTAGTATGGTTTGATGGTATAAACTTGCCTTACTTTTCAATGGAACTAGACTTGAGTTTTTATAGTAGAAAGTGACGAATATGAGCCAATGGATGAATATACACGTGGCTTCATCCTTGCGATGGGACACACTTGTCACAAGTTTCAATCAATCATTATAAGACCATGCTGCATTGAGTATTTTGGCCAAGTCGGCCAAGCTGAACCAATGTGCATAGGCCTCTTGGCTCCACGAGTCAAATGGGCTGGTTCATTTGTAAAGCCCACCGGTTAGCCCTCAATCAATTTGCCAAATTTAGGCATAAATTTATTGTAATAATTATTTTTAAATATTTTGTTGTCACTTTGTCATATTTTATTTGTAATTTATTGTAAGAATGTTTTTAGTTTTTTAATAACTTTTGGGATATTTTTTAAAAACCAAGAAGTTCGTGGGTTGACTCAATTCATGGTGAGCCCAACCCATTAGCCAAACTGATCCACACTTCTGGGAAACAAGTCTAGCTTGACTCGACTCACAAGTTGAAAAGCTCGTGGTCATATTGGACATGAGCTGAGTCGAGAGTTTGGGCCTATGGACGACTCAATTATGTCCATTGCCATTTCTAGTTTGAACTTATTGGACTTTGATATTGTATTGAAGCTTATGTTCCATCTTATAATGTAAATATTATAAGGATCAAACACATATATGTTAATTTTTTATTTTTACATTTAATTATGTGAGAATATACTTTTCTAATGCTCTAAATTTACATTTTAGATAGCAAAAATCGTGAATAAATATAAAAAATATATTCAAGTTTAGAATTTGTTATCCCTATATGTTACTAGATGTATTTGTTACATATTGACACATTGGTCGACCCACTGGGGCCCATGGCCCACCCATACGAACCACGTGGCATGGTCGTTGAAGCTATTAGGCCAACAAGGAACACAAAACATCGAGAAACAACACCTGTGAATTGGCTCAATTGCTGGAAGGCTGAGGTGGTCCACATCGAGGCCCAAATGCCGAAGTCAAACTCCAAAACACCTTTGACATCACTCTTTCCTACTTGAATGATTGATGGGACACCCATCATAGAGTGCAAGTGAGACATCTTGTCAAGCATAGTGGCGACTTTGCCAATTAATAAATGTATAGCCGGCTAGGAAGTCAAACGTGATGCGTAGAATTTGACATGTAAACTAGTAAGATGAGGCCACGATTCAACTTGTATTGTTATAAATACTTCCCCATGCAACCCATGTAAAGCTAATGCAAGATTCAATACAATAACATACACTACACATTTTACTCTCTTGCAATACATATGAGTTCACATACATATTCAACAAACCACGATTGGTAATTATTTTACAGTCGTTATCCAAATGTATCGTCGGATTTCGAACACTATCATCTCGTACCTTTGAGTTCCTCCCGCGCTCTAAATCTGCTCATTTCAGACTGTCCACGTATCTAAGTGTGTCGGACTAGACTTGCGTGTGCACGGGTGGGTCTAGTATCTATTGCGAAATTTTTTGGGTCAAACGATTGGCATCGTCTTTGGGAAACCATACTATAACTATGAGCAATCATGTGGAGAAAGCTTACTAAAGAGGAACATTTGAGCATTCTCTTTGAAAAAGGATTTGTCCTTGAAAAAGAACAAGAGGAAGCCCCATAACTTGGAAAAACTTGGAGTCGAAACACAGAAAATGCGCTCGGATGAAGATGTACCCCCAAGAAGGGTAAGAGAAAGCATAGGAGCAGCCCCACCAGCAGCTTGTCACAGGCCCCAACACCATTATAGGAGAGTTGGTACGAAAATGGCCGTCCAGATCTCTAGGGAGATGGCTGTAGACATAGGAACATCACGAGCCAAAACATGGCAACGAGCCGTCTAGATCTCTAGGGAGATGGCAGCCGTGGCTGCAAACATGAGGAACATCGCGAGCCAAAACATGGCCATGAGAGAACTCATGGCCCAAATACAGGGCCATAGAGGTTTTCCTATACCTCCCTATACGTCCCAAGGGCAATACTAACAAGATGATGAAGTCCAAAGCCAAAGGGCTGCTTCACCATCATACAACTGAGGTGATAGCCCCGTGGAAAGGGAAGTGGAAGTTAACATTTCCTCCACCTGTGCAGCTAGTCGACCTACCGAGGTCTCGTATAACTAGTAGGACAAAATTTTCCTTGCATATGAACAGAGACCCAGTAGGTTAAGCAGTGTGTTTGACAGAATCAGCTTAGTGGAATTGAGGCGCAGACAACACTAACAATCTCATGAGCCTCGAACGAGACCATAGCCCCTTTCCCCAATGAATCAACAGCCGCAGGAAAAGCATGAAAATGCCCCCGTGTTGCCTCGCCTAGAAATAGGCACCAAATGAAGGAAGAAGAGGCTAGGAACCAGGCCGGTCCTTCTCACCTGTCACCCATATATAAGGTCGATAAGAATACTGATTTAGATAAATAGCAGAGGTCCTGTGACTTGGATGATGATGATGAAAACTTGCCATTCTCGAGAGAATTAAGAAGCACCCAGGTTCCAAGCCACTATGTTATGCCTTAGATAACAAAATACGATGGGAGAGGTGACCTAGAGAAGTATTTGAATGCTTATAAGACTCACATGAGCCTAAGATGAGCCACCTCGAAAATGAAGTGCAGAGCCTTTCATTTAACATTTAGTGGATTAGTTGAAATTTGGTATAGTAGGCTACCATCTGAGAGCATAAGAAGTTGGCCAGAATTTAAGACCACATTTTTGAAGAGATCCGCAGTGAGCAAGGAGGGAGAGGTCCCAATCCAGCTCCTTCAGGAAATGAGGCAAGTACATGGAAATCTCTTAAAAGCTTCTTGTCATGCTTTACATATGAAATGACGTATTGCATGCAAGTCATCTTTGCAAAGCCTTGTCAGTACTGAGAGAAGGCTTAAATATGAATACCCTGTTTTGGAGGGACGTGCAAAATCAGGACCCTACTACTTATGACGCCCTGCTCGAGATGATCAAGCGGGAAATAATCAATGAAGAGTTGATTGAACAGAAGAACAGGGCCAACAGAGGCTTCCCATCTCAGCAGAGATAGTGCACCAGGGGACCGACCTCTCACTTGATGGACTAATAGATGAACTAGGCCAGTAATGACAATTCAGGGCAAGTACTCGGCACCACAACTTTGAATGCAGTCCCAACCTTGGCATATGAAGATATCGCCCCTACTACTGACATGCAATAGGTTGAAACTTCACAACAAGTCCCTTGCAAGGGAAGAGGCCGTGGGTGAGGCCCGGGTTCTTGACCCAGACAGAACTCGAGCCCCCACCAATATTGTATGTACCACTACTCGTACACCACGACACCGCAAATTGTTGAGAATATATGCAACACGTCTGACTAGAAAGTCTTTGAAATGAGAGGAGGAATGAATCGCCTCATGAGAACAGGACTCCACCTAAGTATGACCAGCGGCCTAGGCATGAAGAGGCTGCTCCCCGCCAGCGGGGTATTTCTCCCCTCAAAAGGAGAGAGCAAAATGCAAAAAGACCCAGGGAAGGACATAGACATCATAGAGGCAACTAGGGTCAAGAGGAGGCCCCAATCCATGAGGTGGATACCATATTTTGAGGCCTTACATAGGTGGATCAACCCAAAATTCACAAAGAAACTATGCCCGAGAGGCCAAGCACCCCCCTGTTGACAAGTTACATCGTGGACAATAGCTCTTGGAGAAACTAGACACTACCCATCATCTTCACTCAAGAGGACGTAGAGGGAGTCCACTATCCCCATTGCGATGGTAAAAGCTGTTGTGGCCTGGAATGGACTCAAACGAATGCTAGTAGACAATGGCAGCTCCGCGAACATTTTGTTTGGATCTACATTTGATAAGATGATTTTGGACCACAAATTGACTCCCACCACCACTCCCTTATACAAATTCACTGGAGATAGCATCATTTCGAGAGGAAAGATCACACTCACAATGAAGATGGGAGAATTACCCCAAACCACATTGAACTTCATGGGATTCCTTATTGTGGATAGCTGATTGCCTTATCACGGAGTACTGGGGAGATCAGCCCTAAAGGAATTGGGAGCTGACATCTCTATCCACCACATATGCATGAAATTCCCGACTGAGAACGAGGTGGCAACAGTGAGAGGAGACCAAAAAGGATCAAGTGAATGTTATTTGAGCTCTATTAGGAAGGCCGAACCCTAGGACATTAATGTCGTTATAACTAACATGGATTTGATGGACGCCCC